AAATCTCTACTCATTATTTGACAGGCTAAGTCGGCAACTTGATCTGGGCAAACTGCATACGAGGACCTGATTTTCTGGGCTCTATCTCTTAATTATGAGTGTGGCAATTTATCTAAGTTGAAAAGGCACATGCTTTGTTTCAACCTGTAATATTTTGGATCTAAACGCACAAAACAAGCTGACAGACTTCGTTCATTAAATTCACGTCCAGTTTACTGCTGATGAATTTTACCATGATACATATCAGAATGCGAATAAAAATCAATCGTTAAACCCAGTAGCCCAAACAAACAGAATGTCGATGAGTGCGATCAAATAGTGTACATCTGTTACAGCTTTACCGGTCAGAACAAATTATCTACCTACTTGTTGGACTCACAGTATATTTGACATCAACTGTTCTGTCGTCTGTTTAATTGGAACACGTTGAGTAAGGGTGTGAGCATCACGCATAACTGATTTCAATTTCCACAATCTTGTGCTCTTTTCAACGAGGCTATAGAAAACGATGGAACGCACTCAAGTTTTGCTTTCATTAGGGTTAGCCATTAGTGTATATCTTTGCTAACGTAGGCATCGGAACTCGAGTCGCAATTTCGTGAAAAGAGCTATTGACGATTTCATCAGTGATCTCACGAATGGTCACGTGCAAGCAATCGGTCAAACTTTCCTGTGACTAACATTAAGATTTGTCGATTGCCTCGAGAGCAGACGCAGTAACTGCCCTATTAACTGCAACGGAAAATCTACCACGACAGTTTACATCTTAGTAACGTGTCCTTTCACAACAGATCGACAAACCGTTGTAAACTGACTTACTTTTGCTTAATAGAGAGAGGAATTGAACTATTTAAGGGGTATTTGACAACTATGGATCGATCGCCTCGGATATTAGATCCTAAAAACGTCTGTGTGACAGTAATCAGCTGTGGAGTACACAAAACATAAACTCACTATAAATACTTAATGTGGACATAATGAAACGGCTCTATAACACAGCGTAATAGAAGTTTTGAATAGGAATCGTTCATTAGATATGTATACGCCAGCCAGAGGTTTGCTGGGATGTGAAGGTATCCTTAATTTGCATGTTATCTGATACATCGATTAGTTTCAGGCACATTGTACCACGTGGCTTACATGTGAATATTTACACCCCTTTTCTATAAGCACAGTTGTTTGTTAGTAGTTCTGTTTCAGTAGGTTCACATATGTGCGCGTTACAAATTGGCTGGTCGGAAGTTTAGGCGACGTACTCAGGGAAAGTGGTTTTATAAGCTCTTACTATGTTTAGAAATGATAGAATAACATGTTCTACCAAATTATGAGTGGATTTTCTGCAACTTTTGACGACTCCTACTGTAAAACGAAAACAATAATGTGAAGTAACAGCAGAATTTTAATGAAATGCTATTTGGATAGAAAAATGGAAACTTATGTCACCGGAAACTTAAGTTTACGGAACAGATCGTAAATGACGTCTCGGTGAGAAGTAATAGATCCTATAGATTGTTTTTTGGACACCGTTCAACCCAAGGTCATATTTATGTACGTGACTCAAATAAAGTATCTAGACGCTGGGTTTTAAGTTATTAAATTGACGACAACACGGAGGTAAACAGGATATGAAGCGTATTCACACATTTACGAATATGTCGGACACCATTTTAAGAAGTCATTGAGAGACTACATTGAAATGGGTGAGGTTGTGTTCGGATGCAAATATACCTACTCTTAATGTCATCAGCAACATTGCCAAGCGAGTTCTGTATACACTTGGGAGAAGGTAAAAACAGTCATCTAAGTCAAATAATCTACATTAGTGTGGACTTCAATCGACAAACGCAGTGCGTCACGAGCTTAGCCTAGCATCTTGGGAAGTTAAATTGATAACATGATATAAACTGGTGTAACTATTCAGTTAGCTGTTTGTGAGTTCCTGGTTTTGTTGAATGTATCCAACATGCTGATGACACCAAGAACTTCAAAAGCTAGCCGCCTTCATAAACACCGTTTATTGGCTATGGAAAATTCCCTAATGCCGGTACATAGCAGCCACTGGTGGTATTCATGTTAGCCAGTGACGGAACACAAAAGTGGGGTAGTCTGAAAGAGTTTCAAGATGACATACTTTGTATTACGTGTGTAGCCTTTACTCAATAGCCAATAAATACCAGGATATCTTGTGATATGAAGTAATCAAAAATAAGCTTTCGACATGACTTCATAGTTCAGCTGGTAAAGTATATGCTGCGGCTGGACATGTTGTTTCTTTCGCTGGTTCGAATCCAGTTGAAGTCTGGATTTTTCGCAATTCGATCTCTTTTGAAAAATGAGCGCTCTATGCCCACTTGTTAATCTAGTTGGTCAGCGCTTCGTGCTATAAGAAGGATGTTGGTACTGTAAGCATGTCTATCGAACGAGTCCAGGTAGCGAGCAAATCCTTCGTTTGGAAAGTCGGTTTGAAATCGAAGGGTACTGCGACTCGATAAATCATTGATTTTTAGACCATCCTATCGACGGCCAGTGAAATAAGGTCAAGTTCCATTTTATTGTGTCTATCCACACTAACAAGTGATATGCTTTCTACACATCATCTATCTATCACATTATGGCCATATGATTAAGTGACACACTACGATTCGTGAGTTATGATTTGACTGTAACGGTTCCCTGACTGGGAACATATCAGCTAATCTGAACCCACGTGACCGTTGTTGTAAGCAGAACGGTGACCAGTGGGCGTCAGTCGATCAGAGACGTCAGTCGTGTGCTACGTCGA